CTGGCTGATCATTAACACTTTGTTGCTGAAGACGTGCACTAACTCTAATCCCTGTCATTCGAGTTTGTATTTTAGGTATACCCTTGTAATTTGCAATTGATGAAAATAAAATTCAATTCAGCTTCTCTACACCTTTTAGAGGAAAATAATTCAATTTTGCTCAATTCAACTGAATTCAGCTCAATTCAACTGAATTCAGCTCAATTCAACACCACTTACCAGTAGTAGTTCGTTCTGTGGTGACAACAGTACTACTAGAATTCAGTCCATCTGCTACAGAATTTTGGCATTCTTGATTGGAAGTTTGCAGACGAGTACGTTTTGTACCTATTAGCACACAGACTTGTTAGATAAGTAAAAACTAACAGTACTTAAATATTCTAACAGTAAAATAAAGATTGCATATTTACTCGGATTAGAACCGGATCCATTCCCTATAGAATTCACGTATGGCAGATAACTAGTTGCTGCATGAGAACGTTTCTTTTTCAATAATTCTGCATGTGATTGATTACTTGGTGCATTACCTGTTGTTACATAAACGTTAAATTGATAATAATATTCTAATCAACCAAGTGAATGAATCATGAATTATAAGAGAAATATGCACTACTTACCAGAAGTAGAACTCTGAACGGTAGGCGTTTTGTTACGGTACATCTTCTCACTGTTTATTATCAGACAATTAGAATGGTCAAAATGCAAAAGAATGTAACATTCATCTATTTGAATCATTACCATGTTTATATGAGTCTCAAAGAAATTTTTTCTGCTATTCTTGCTAATAATTGTATCTTTTTCTGGTAGGGCTACTGATAATCAGGTACATGGAACTTTTAATTACATCTCCAGAAATGCATATCACAGAAATTCTCTTAACTGTAAACCAACTTATAATATATGCAGGTTACCACATGATAGGATGGTATAAGAAGATGGGAGATAGGATATGGACACCTTGGTTTATCAAATTCATCCATTCTCGAGGATATTACAACATATACACAAATTTTCAGCAAGAAAGGGCTTTAAGCACATCTCACAGGGATGCTGGTGTAAACTATGGTAGAACAGCTGGTCCTTGTTGTAGTAATAAGATCTATAGGAATGTTCCCCCCTAAGTCATGAAAAAGAATCAACTAGCGACCTACAAGGAGCCAAAATCAACTTTTGACAAGCTAAATCCAGATGCCATGTTGAAGTTAATACTGTTCCAGGTAATTAAGCATCAAGAAAAATGAAAAATATATTCATGCTTGCTGCTGGAAATGGTTGATTGGTTCATAAACTGACAACCAAGAGTGGCTACCATCGAACATATAGCTTACCTCAGTAGCATATCCTACGAGTGCTCTGCGCAGTGAAGTTAGTATTGGATTTGGCTTATGATTCCACCAACACTAATTTGGGAAAACAACTGCATTAAGATTGAAACTAAAGGGAAGCATTGTATCTGAGAATTTGACTGGCAATTTGCATTTTAATAATGCTTATATTAGATTAAACTAAAAGAAAGCAAAAAGAAGAAGGACGTGATGACTTTATAATTCTAGCATTAACATTTCTAACTGCAGAAAAAACCAGTTTAAAAGGAAGTTATTCTAGAAGTGATGGGTAGTAAAAGCAAGTTGTAAGCCAATTCTAACTTGGATAATGTTTATTATAGTCAGCAGTCTTGTGGAGAATTCACCCTATATAACTTGGATAAGGAAATCATATGGACGTCAATATATAATATAGAGGGTTACTAAAATATAAATATGATCTACAAGAGCTCAAGAATGACCTCGCTGGGGACTAATTTGCTTGGGTCCATAATGACTCAAAAGAATTGATCCATAATCAAAATTTTCAGAGTTTTAGCAATTAAAATCATGGTATTGAAAGCATCACTTCTCTGATCTGTTCACTTTCTATTTATCTTCGAAATGGCGAAAATTAGACATGCTACTTATTCCCAGTCACAGCACCGTCGTTCAAGTTGGAATCAGTACCACTTGTTCGATGAATTTTACAGCAATTCCATAGTTTGTCATCGTATATCCTGACTGCTGTTTCGTGTATGCGCGCGCGTACGCGTGTCCCTGAGTTTCAAAACAAAGCCCCTACGACAGAAACTACAGCCTGTATACATTGCCTGCACAAAATTCCGTTTATATACTAAAACTTACATCGGAAATGAAGGAGATGACCTCTATCCTACTGGATCGCCAGAGTTTGAAGCCATTGATACATTGGATGGAGATGTAAGACTCTTTTGATAAAACTATCTCATGTTTCTCCCTTATTTATCCATATTTTCTTTTCTGATCAAGGAACATCCGTGTGTGTGTGTGTGTGTGTGTGTGTGTGGCTAATCAAGTACAGCCCTGGCATGATGAAGAACAAGCTGAAGCAGAAAATCGGGTTGTTGAGACCTTAAACAACTCTCAGATGGATGAAGACCTTAATGATGATGATTATAGGGGTGAAGATAAGCCCAAGCAGAAAAGGCAACCCAAAAGAGTAAAAAAACAGATGACTAATGCCCAGGAACCATCTAAAAGGCTCAAAAACACCTTCAAAGAACCTGATTCCACAGAAGCAGAACCACCAAAAAAGAGGTTTCCTCATGGGACTCGAAAGCCTACAGAAAATAGTTTGTAGCATCCATGTACAAAGCATGTAAATATGAAACCAAATGACATGGTATTGAACAAAGGCATAAAGTAAAATATTGTTGAGTTAATACCTAGAACACGAGTAGCAACTATACTGGGCAATTTCTGCAGAAATATTTCTCCTTCAAGCACATCTAGAGCAAAGAGAGTGTAAATTAGAACTTGATCTGTTATATAAGCAATAAGACATAGAAAATTAGAAAAAAAACATGCAATTTGATGATAAACATCAATGTGGATTTTATAAATGCTTTCAACACTAGCACAGTGAACAGCTAGTTGCAAGACATAATGCGCAACAATGACACAAAGCTATGAAAGCTTCCATCACTGCTGTAATTATAAATAGAGCTTTGCACAATATGTCAAATACAATATACATACTTTTCCCTCAAAAAGTATAACATCTAACTGGTGAGATTCATATGGCCATAAACAAAAATAAAAAAGTCTAGAATGTAAAGTTAATGAAACGGTATAAAAATGATATCATTTCAAGGTACTAGGAAAAATAATCTGGTTTTATGATTGCAATGAGTCAATACTTGGACCACATTTATCCATTTGGAATATCTAATATAAATGTTTGTACTTGCTTGAGTTCTGAGAAGATGGTGAATGATAGAAGCAAGCTCTGACTTAATTTTCCATATTATGCCTGGATAAAGATCAGTCCATTTCCAGCAACATCTGAAAGGACAGAATGCTCAAATTTTTCTTCAAATAAAACTAATGTCAAGCTAAGGGCTCAACCAGTAGCAGTTATCTCACCAAATGCTTGACCTTGCTTACAGTCTTATGTCCAGTACAACATCACCACTTCCTAGTCCTATTGTTTTCGTGCTCAAACCACAGAAGGATCACGAGTAACAAAATGCAGGAGCTTTTTAACTTTTTCCTTAAGTCGCACATGACACCATTAATTCCTGGAATTAAGTTAAATAGGTCAGAATTCAATTATAATCCTAGAAAATATGGCATTATAAACTCAAATCACTCCTGGTGTTCCATTTCCTAAAGTTCACTAAGTATTACACTTTTTTCTAATACCCATTGAAGGAATGAAAAATGAAAGATAAACCATCAAAATTGTCATAATTTTGCAACAAAGCTACAGAAGTCAATGGATTTGAATATGCAGGTAAGAAGAACCAGGGCAGAGCTAGATCACCTAAGTTTTGTGAAAAAATCATAGTATTGCAACAAAGGCTACAAAATCTGATATATTTGAATATGCAGGTGGGAAGAACCAGAGTGGAACCAGATTACCTAAGTGAATCGAAACAGTATCATATCAACAAATCAAAAACATTTTGAAAATTGGGGCATATATAAAGATTGTAATGAACTTTCTTGAGTAGAAATTAATGGTGGCTGATAATAATACCAAGATATGAAAATTAGATCAGAAGTACATATGATAGAACAAAACCTTGCTATATGTGGTATGTGCTTGATACTATCAGAAAAGAGCAAAAAAACCATTTTGTTTATTGCAAGAAAGTAAAATAAATTCAAAGATAGATAACATAATGCAAAAAACGTTGCAGGAATACAAACAGAGAATTGGAGTAGCTGTTCTACAACAAGCAAAGAAGGGTCAAATGAAAGAACTAAGAAGAGAAAGGTATGGGAAGTGCATAAAGTTTGAGATACAACCTAGTAAAAACCAACATTTGGTGTAACGTAAATACGAAAGGGAATATGGATGATATATCCTGAAACCATTGTAACATCACAGAGCTCCTATGAAAATGGGAAATGGACATAGAGAGGAAACTGGGACTAACAAAGCCATTCAATTATAGCTACATTTATCAAATTATGTCAAACAAAAACATCTCGCACAAAATAAAAACATTAAAATTATGATATAAACTAATCACTATCCTCATCATCACTTGAAATGATTGGTTCTTCATCACCATCTTCCGGATCATCTTCTTCTTCAGTATCATCATTTATCAAATTATCTTCACTAACATCATTCATCCAATCATCGTTCACAACCTCTGAAGCAACAATTTCTGGGTCAATATCATTAAGATGCAATTCTGGAGTTTCAAGGCCCTCTTCTTGAACGAACCAGTGAACATCATTAAACTCGTCTTGTTGATAAGCATCATTTGTCACAGGATCTACATCATCCTCAACTATCACTCCACTTGTATCCTCGACCTCCGGAACATCCCACACGTTTCTCAATTGCACCTTTTGTACAACTTTCCAGGGTGAACCCAACTTACAGTCATCGAGATAAAACACTTGTTGGGCTTCCATAGCAAGTATGAATGGTTCATCATCATACCACGTAGAGCTTGTATTAATGCTAGTAAGATTATAATCATACCGTATCATTCTTCTCCTTTCGTCTCTACTTGATTCGTCGGTGTTGAACCATTTACACTTGAATAAGAAAACTTGATTCATATCTAAGTACGTTAACTTCACAATACTTAGCAAAACACCATAATAATCATGACTTCCGCCAATAAAAACTCCAGGGACATACACCCCACTATTTTGAGTTGTCCGATGATCATCAAGATCTTTTGTATGATATCTAACTCCATCCACGATACAACCAGTGTACGTATGAACGCGTAAATCTGGTTTACATGCTAGACAATAAAGCTTCTCATCGGTTGCATCCATCAATCCGTTTTCTCTCTTTTTAATCATCTATGAATAATAACAATTGAAACAAGAAAGTTAGCATAGTGGTCATATACAATAACTAACTACTCTTTAAAATTGTGTATGAACTTACTTTTTTTTCAAACCAATCGGGGAACTCATTTTCTTGTCTTTCATACAACTTATGGTTACTTGTTTGCCTTAACTCATCCTCATGTTCCCTACAGGTACAAATTAGATAATTTACAAATTAGATAATTCAATCTCTAATCTGAATTAAAAAAATTGAACTCAATACACACAAATGTAAAAAGACACTTACTTGAGATAAGGTTTCACCTCGTCACAGTTGTATAGTACATACCAATGAGCTTTATTCACTTCCTTCCGATCCAATAGTATATATTTTTTTCCGCAGAATGGACGAACTTTCTGAGAGAAAATTGATAAACCATCTACTACTTGGTCATCTTCTACATCAACATTTCGTTCTGCCCGATTGATACGGGTTTCAATCTCACGAAAATACATAGAACAAAATGTCACTGCTTCATTGACAATATATGCTTCTGCAATAGAACCTTCAGGTCGAGCTTTATTTGTAACATACTTTTTATATGTTCCTAAATTTCTCTCAATAGGATACATCCACCGATAGGTAACTGGACCACCAAGCAAAGCTTCACGAGGTAAATGGACTGCCAAGTGAACCATTACATCAAAAAAAGCCGGTGGAAAAATTCTCTCTAATTTGCACAATATTATAACAATCTCCTTCTCCATTCTTTCCAAGTCTGACACCTTTAAAGTTTTTGCACATATCTGTTGGAAAAAAATGGCCAGCTCAACAATTGCAGTGCACACATCCTTGTCCAAATATGAACGAATACCAACTGGGAGGAGGCGTTGAAGTAAAACATGGCAATCATGATTTTTTAAATTATGTATCTTCCCATCGACAATGTTCACATTTTTGCAAATATTGGCAGCATACCCATCAGGAAATTTGACAACTTTGAGGAACTTACAAAACAGCCTACGGTATTCCAATTTCAAAACATATCTAGCATGAGGCTTCTTCAATTTATTCCCTTGGCGTGTGAGATGCAATTCTTTTCTTATCTTCCTATCTGCCAAGTCCAAACGAGCCTTGTTGGTGTCTTTTGTTTTCCCATCTATATTCAACAAAGTACCAATGACACTATCACATATATTTTTTTCAACATGCATCACATCAATATTATGTCTCAACCTGAGCTTGGACCAATACTCTAACTCAAAAAAGAATACTCTTTCTAGTCCAGTTTAGCTCATGAGGCTCACGGTGTCGCTTTAAATCAGGATTGTCAGGATGTTTTCCAGGCCTAGCTTTATAAACACGATCTAATTGCCGCAATATGTCATCCCCAGAAAATAATCTGGGAGGAGGACGATCTTCAACTAAACCGTTAAAATATTTACTCCTTCTCCACTCATGATCCTCAGGCAAATTTCGTCGAGCTCCCATAAAACATAATTTTCCTCTCAACCCCTCTGAAGTTACATCTTCGTTACAAACAGGACAAGCTTTGTACCCTTTTGTGCTCCACCCAGATAAATTTCCGTAAGCAGGAAAATCATTTATAGTCCACAATACACATGCCCGCAAATTAAAATTTCTCCCAACAGAGGCATCAAAAGTTTCAACTCCAATATCCCACAATTCTTTTAATTCGTCTATTAATGGACGAAGATACACATCAATGTCTTTCCCAGGTGCTCGAGGACCAGGTATGAGTAATGACATCATTGAATACACTCCTTTCATGCATTTCCAAGGAGGCAGATTGTACGGCACTAGCATAACTGGCCACATACTATAACTAGTGCTCATGTTTCCAAATGGATTAAAACCATCTGTAGCAAGCCCCAACCTCACATTTCGACAATCTGCAGCAAAGGACATTCATCCAGTTTCTTATTCTCTTTCCCATAAAACAGTGCACAGTCATACTTGCATGCATGTATGGATTCATACCCCAAACCCAATTCTAGCAACATATTTTTGGCTTCATAGTTCGATGTTGGTATGGATGCACCTTTTGGATACGAGTCATTTAACAATTTCAGTAGATTTTTAAAACTTTTATTGCTCCAACGACCATCTATCTTGATCTGCATTAATTTTATAATAAAAGATAATGCAGAGAACTTTGTACAACCCGGGTACAGTTCTCGTTGAGCTTCATTAAACAAATAATCATATTTGTTAACATAAATATCGTTCTCATCATCTGTCTCCATACTTATAGCCCCTTGGACATCATTTAACATGTCCAACATCGCAGCATTGTCATCATCATCATCCTCGCTGTCACTTTCAAAATCCTCATACATTTGGTCGTCTGCGACATCAACAAAATCTTCCCCATGTTCAGTCCATGTCGTGTAATGTTGTGCAAACCCATTTACAAGTATATGTCTGCGTATCTCGGGTAGAGAAAGACACGGCAAGACATTTTGACATTTAACACAGGGGCAACGCGTCTTATTTTCATGATCTAGGTGTTGTTTCGCAGCATCCAGAAATGTTTGTAAACCATTGGTGAAGTCAGGGTTGTGAAACCTATCTCTAACAAACATCCAACTTCTGTCCATCATGTACCTATAATAAAAAACAAGGGGTTCCCCATTGAGAAACAGTATGACCAATCATAAAAAAGATACATAACCAACACTTGTACCTATGATCTAACTTACATGTGGTTAATCGATAATTATAATATTTTTTTGTTAATTAAGTGATAAAAATGAGATATTAACGTTGATTATTGATTTATTGAGGTACACTTCAACAGCCATAGACAAAATCAAGCATAAAAGAACTAGTTACTACATGGTTGAGCTTCATTATCAGGGAGGACTAGAGAATAATCATTGTCTATGTTTTATACCCATTTTGGGTGGGTGAATATTTCTTTTACCATCCGAAAATACCAACAGTAAAGTGATTTTGTCTCAAAATCCTTGAGGGCCAAGTCAAATTACAATATTAAATGATCTGCTCATCTTGGAAAAGGATATAGATTCAAGACTAGTTACTAACATATTTAAGGAAAATGTTTTTCACCTTTTTACATCAAAAATAGAAATAACTAAAATGTTTCACATCTCTAAGCATTTGATTGTTTTACCACCCCTAACCATTTGACACCAGCAACAGAAAAACAGGATTTTACATGTGCATCTGCTATCTACATCTCTCTTCTACTATCTCAAAGCATTGAAACCATCTCTTTCCCGGCAAATGAAGTGTGTGGCTGTAAAAAATATTTACACATCAAGGTATATTTCATCCCAAAAAAATACATCCTCGACCAGCATCCAACATCAGGAAAAATCAGAAAAAGTAAACAGTTGGAAAATAGAAAATCCATGAACGAAACAAATAATTACACGAGGTCTTGATCAGCACATGCAATTGCCAGAACTGTAATTGCCAGAATTACATGCACAGAATTAACAAGGGATTGGGAATTTTTACAAGTTAAATGAATAATTTAATCTCAAAAATAGGAAAATCCAAAATACCTTTGTGGTGGTGAGGCGATCAACACATGCAATTGCCAGAATTCGGAAAGGGGTGAGACGCAACCACAATTGCACGAGGTCTTGATCGAGGTCTTGATCGGAAAGGGAAAGCGAAGGTCTCTGGTCTTGATCGAGGTCTTGATCGGAAAGGGAAAGCGAAGGTCTCTGGTCTTGATCGGAAAGGGAAAGCGAAGGTCTCTGGTCTTGATCGATGTGAGATCGGAGGTTTTTGAGAGAGGAGGTTTTGGGTCGTGGGGAGGTACTGGTCGGGTGGGAGGCTGAGATTGGAGGGGTTTTGAGGGGAAATATAAATCGCTAGGTTTTGGGTCGTGGGGAATTCGCGGGTGGGAGGATGAGAGCGGAGCGGTTTTGAGGGATAAATAAAAATCAACGCGTTTTGGTAATTATAATTCGTTTCCCCCGTTTTTTTTAATCCCTACAAATTTAGTTTCCCACCTTTTAATAAAAATATCTATTTTTTAAATTTTACTTTAAGATATAATTAGCAATTGTTTCAAATAGACAGAAAAGATCAGATTTTATAATAACGGATAAAAATAAAACTCACACCTCAATTCGGGGATCACCAAAACTCAAAACAATAATACTGTCCATTAAAATTCAATTAGAGTTCACCAACTGTACAAATAATCAAATCTAAAATAAGAGATTAAGAGGGCAATTGAAATTAACTCAAGTCATTTAAAGTCTGACGATAATCAGACCTTGATCTTTTTTTAGATTGGTCGCTATTTCTCCCGCTATTTTTTCGATACATGTAATTTCTCCAGCTTCCTCATCAGGACATCCCGCTTTTCTTTTAGATTGACGGTATATATGTTAGCTTTGACTCTTTCTTGTTTAAATTACATATTTCTCCATGTACACATCATCAAAGAGAGTATATCTATTAAGAGGGTTAAATTTGATATTTTACTTTGACCATGTTTAGAGTTTAGGGTTCAGGGTTTAGGGGTTAGGGGAAAATATAAACATATGTATATCTTTCAGCTATCTTTTCAAAGAGAAAATTTGTTGTGATCAAGATTGAAAGATCTTACTACAATGGATACCCGGTTGAGGCATTAAAACATACTCAAAGTGGAAATATCTTGCTGAGGCATAAATATCTAATTGAGGCGGATATATCTATACAAGCTTAGAATGTATGATTTAATGAGTGTTTAGAATCGAAGTAATGCCTAAACTTGTGAGGAGAATCTCCCACATCTCAAAGCTAATGTAGTTTATATCTATTTTCATTGACAAATAGGAATAAAAGATTTCATTGCATGTTTGGTTTATATCTATTTGGCGGGTTTTGCACATTTTTCCTTCAAACTAATAATGAGGAAACTATTATTTCCTTGCTAATTGATTCTTTTAACAAGGAAATGCTTCCTCGTAAAACAAAAAAAGTTAGTGAGAAAACATTCAATTTGTTGTCAATGAATTTGGCTGGTGTTGCACATTTTTTAGCCAAATTAATAATGAGAAAACTATAATTTCCTCGCTAATAGGTTCTTTTTGACGACAAAACGGTTCCTCGTAAAACAAAAACTTTTAGCGAGGAAGCCTTAAATTTGTTGCTATTGAAATTGGTGGGTTTTGCACATTTTCTGCCAAACTAATAACGAGGAAACTATTATTTCCTTGCTAATTGGTTTTTTAACGAGGAAACAGTTCCTCGTAAAACATAAATTTTAGCGAGAAAACCTTTAATTTGTCGTAAATGAATTTGGCAGGTGTTGTAAAATTTTCTGCCAAATTAGTAGTGAGTAAACTATGATTTCCTCGCTAATAAGTTCTTTTTAACGAGGAAACGGTTCCTCGTAAAAACAAAAACTTTTAACGAGGAAGCCTTAAATTTGCCACCATTGAAATTGGAGGGGTTTTTTTTTCCCGCCAAACTAATAATGAGGAAACTATTATTTCCTCGCTAATTGATTCTTTTGATGAGGAAACGGTTCCTCGCAGATTATGGATCTTCAGCGAGGAGATCATACTTTGTCGCTGTTACATTTGGCGGATTTTCCTCTATTTTCACCAAAAGAACAGCGATGAAATGATTATTTCCTCGTTAAATGTGCATTTCGCGATGAAAAAGTTCATCACCAAAATCACATATTTCCTCGCCAATAAAACAACTAGTTAGGAGACCAAATTATGATCATCTTTAGCGAGGAACTAAAATTTTCATCGTAGAAGGTGGTCTACTGTGAGGAAAATATATTCCTCGTAGAAGACCTACTGATATTTACAGAGGAAACAATATTTTCCTCGTCGAAAGTGATATTTGTTGAGGAAAATAATTTTCTCGCAAAAAAGTTGGTCGCTAAAAGACCTGTCTGTTGTAGTGAAACCTTTTAAGTACCTTATCGATATAGCTCTTTTGTGATAATCCAAGAATACCCCGAGAGCGATCTCGATGTATCTGGATCCCTAATATAAAAGAGGCGTCCCCAAGATCTTTCATCTCAAAATTCTTTGATAGAAATCTCTTGGTTTTGTGCAACATGCCTATATCATTAGTGGCAAGCAAGATGTCATCGACATACAGAACCAGAAAAATATACTTACTCCCACTGAACTCGTGATATACACAGTCATCAACAATGTTCATCTCAAAACCGAACGAGATAATTATTTGTTGAAACTTATGATACCATTGACGAGGAGCTTGCTTGAGTCCATAGATGGATTTCCTTAATTTGCAAACCATATTCTTTGGGTCTCCTGACACAAAGTTTTCTGGTTGCAGCATATAAATCATCTCATCAATGTCTCCATTGAGAAATACAGTCTTAATATCCATCTGATGTAACTCAAGGTCATAATGAGCAACAAGTGCCATGATTATTCTGAAAGAGTCTTTCGATGAAACCGGAGAGAAAGTCTCTGTATAATCAATGCCTTCCTTTTGAGTATAGCCTTTAGCCACAAGACGTGCCTTATACCTCTCCACATTACCGTTTGCATCCCGCTTGGTTTTAAAAATCCATTTACAACCAATTGGTTTTGCACCTTCTGGTAATGGGACAAGTTCCCAAACCTTATTGTCTTGCATAGACTTGTACTCTTCATTCATGGCATCAATCCACTATTGAGAGTTAGAACTTTTCATGGCCTGAGAGAAGTTGATTGGATCATCTTCCAACATTCCACTACTTTCCTCATGTTCTTGGAGAAATACAATATAATCATCCGGAATAGCATTTCTCCTTTCTCTCGTGGATCTCCTTAATGGCACTGGTTCTTGAGGTTGTTGAGTTTGTTCTTCTGGAACAGGGAGTTGTTCAACAT